TGTTGCTGAATGAAATTCCAGGGATGATATTTGGATGATTCTGAGAGTCTTAATGTTTATATGTTGTATACTATCTTGATGAATTTAGTTTTTCATATTTTATACCTTTGTTGCCATGGTTGGTTGTTTTTGTTATGATATTAGATTATTATTAATTTCTATTTGGTTCAATGATGTTAAGAACTTATTTGATATTGTAAGTTTTTGTAATGTTTTAATTTCTCATTGTTCAGTTGTAGTTTTTTGCAAAAAAAAAAAAGCATAGATTTCGGGTTTTGGGTCGGGTTTTCGGGGCTATATCGGGTTTCGGGTTTAGGGTCGGGTTCGGGGAAAGTTTCAGACCCGACGGGGCGCCCCGATAAGAAACCCGTCGGGTATCGGGTCGGGGTCGGGAATAAATTTAGATATCGGGTTCGGGGATGGGATTCTCTGACCCGCCCCGAACCCGCCCCGTTGCCATTCCTATACCCTTGAGTTTGCGATCACATAGGACCGAAAACTACTTATTGAACTCACATAAGACAGCAAACATAAAGTCTAAAGCCCATTAGGACCGAAAACCCAATCTTATGGGACCGAAATCTATTCCTTAAGGTCCATTAGGACCAAAATCACTCTTTTGTGAGTATATATGTGGGATTTCGGTCATAGTTGACAGCAAACACTTTCTTTTGGCCGCAAACACCCTCAATTAGGCACTAAACCCCCTTAAATATCTAGATATTTAGTCATTTAGGTGGTTGATACATCTTTCCAAGATGATAAGTTACATATCCCAACGTAAACATCACATCAATTTCAATCCCATATATATATATATATATATATATATATATATATATATATATATATATGTCAACCGAAAACACCCTCACCATTTCAAATTCTTCACTCTTAAGTTACGTACAATTTCTCTCAAAACTCATCCAAGAATCTTCAAACCTTCATACCCTTTCCCAGATTATCAGTGAATCTTCATAAAACCACCCAAGAACATCAATAACAACTTCAATTATTCTAAGGATTCTTGTAAGTATTCGTACATAACTAGTGTTAATTAACACTTAAGTTAATCATTTTACTAATTTGAACACAATATTATCTGTTTAAATATTATTAGGATTTCGGAAATTATACGTGTTCTAACCCGGGGATCTTCACAACCACATCGTACCTAACCAAAAACACACATTCGAGGTGAGTTCATACCCCTACGTTTTCACGATTTTTAAATTGTTTTAGGGAGAAATACAAGTAAAACACAAGAAATATTGTGTTTAAAAATATAATTGCTTATTATGTTTTCTTACCGTTAATATGAAATTAAAAGTGAAATTTTATTAAATTTAAAAATTATTACAAAACATGTTAAGATGCAACGGTTTTCACAATACGGAAATAAACATATAAACTATAATAGGTATAGTTTATGGAACATATGTACTATTTTACAAAGTTACATGTTATTTACTAAAAGGTTTTTCACTTTATTACTCGTAAACACGTTGAAGCAACTTGTGAGACGTCTTCGCGTACTTATCTAAGTACTAGTAAAAGTCATGTCTTATAAACAGAGTCTCTTGTAGGGAGAGCGAGATATTTGTGTATAGATCTATTTGGGACTGACAATCACACACCTTAAATGTTAGCTACAGTTAGGCCGGCAGGCCTGGGGTGACAAATGTCGTTAACATTCTGACGCCTGAAGAACGTCGCGATCAGGCCGACTGGGTCAGTATGGTTATAAGAACTCACATGGAGAAAACAACAACACATTTACATAGTAATATACTTTTTAAACCGTCTTAAGGGGTATTAACTCTGTGATTACTTAGCATATAAATCAGGGTTATATAAAATTAATGTCCGGTAGACAGTGGAATATGTGATTTCCGCCTTATTTCCTGTTCCTTGTTTGGTTGTGGGCTTAGGGCAGAATCACCAATTCGACTGTCTGTTCGATCTCGATTATATACAACTCGTATGTACTAAGTGATCATAGGAGGGTATTAACATCACATCTAGTTTACAGGGCAAACGCATCTTCAAGCTAGTTTTACTTTTGAATAAAACTACGTATCATTAAATTAAGTATGGAAATTATACTTGTACTTTTCGGTATTGGAAGTTTAAGACTACAATTCGGTTCTATGGAAAATATCCTTGATTTTCCAGGATAAACATCATTATTTTACAAGCAAACAGTTTACAATTCAACTTTTTGGAAACAAATACGATTACTTACCGAAAACAATACTTTACAGTAGAGCAGCTGAAACTAGGAACATATTTACAAAAGGTTCAACACTTATTTACAAACTAGTATAACATAAAGGACCCTTAATTGTTAATTCTATGGTTCCTTAGCTTATACATCAGAGTTATATATAAATAATATCTGATAGGTAGTGGAATGTGTGATTTCCGTCTTACTTCCCGTTCCTTGTTTGGTTGTGGGCTTAGGGCAGATCCACACATTCAACTGTCCGTTCGTTATTAATTTATATATAGCTAGTATAAACTAAGTGATCATAGAAGGAACTAGTATGGTCACATTTCTTATTAAGAAAATATAGGATTTTCTGGAGGAACACACGAACATTTTCAAAGAACAAAGAATACACTTTCTATAACAAAAATGCTTATGAACTCACAAACTTTAATGTTGACACTTTTTCAAACCACTTGTATTCTCAGGAAAATTAGTAGACAGGTACCCTCTCAGGCGTTACGAAGACGAAGCATAGTAGCATCACGTCTTATCTTTTGCTATAGTTTTAATGTTAAACGGGCAATGTTTTGAACACAATGTAAATTATATATTATCAATACAATGGTTGTTGTTTTGATTACTATTATACAATTGTTGTGATACTGTACATGACGTCATCCACCCCCGAACGTTTCCGCCGTTCCGGTTTGGGGGTGTGACATCAATCGTATGGGACATCTATAACTACATCAAATGTTACATAATTTGTTACTTATGTGTATCTGGCATACGAGCATCCATAGTGACATCGAATATTCTAGAATTTGTCTCTTATGTCTGCATGAATATCACTCGCATCACAATTATTTTGGCATTCAACATAATAAATATTTCATAACTTCATCCAATCATTTTGAATTAGGCAGAACTCGCTACCCACATATCAATCCCTTTGTGATGTACATGATCATAGGTGTACATGTTCATAATAATCTTGTTTTTTTTTTGTGCTTAAAATGGTTTCATCCTAATTGTTGTGGTTTGCACTTACAAGAATTATGATTACTGCATAAGAAGTTAAATTTAATTCTACCATGACTATCTCAATCAACATCAAAGTTATAATAAGTATTACACAAACATGACCTTGCAAGAAAAATTAAAGACTATTTCACTTTAATCAAAATTTCTATTCCGATCTATTAAGTTGTAAAAAAGATCATAGATGAAAGATCTTTATTTTGACAACCTTAATATAAGTGATTACCTTCTAAAATGAACTTTATCAGTTTTAAAGATTAAAAACACCACAAGAATATATTTTAAATATAATAATTTTTTTACAAAACGTCCAACACAATCACTACTCTACTATTAAATCTATGCATTTTTGTTTCCAACGAAACTTGAACTTTTAACCTTTGGTTGAGGGACATATTTCCGTCAACTTCTGATATCACTACGGTGTAAGTTTTTTCGTATATTTAAAAGACTTAGATAACCGTTTCAGTAGTATTATGTGTAAAATCCAAAGATACATTAATACCCTTAAAAAATATAGTTGAAAAGGAGTTATTTTTATAAGACAATGGGTCCATACAAATTACTGGAAAGGATCAAAGGACCACAAAGGCACAAACAACAACATTTAGGCCCAACCAGCAAACTCGGCTGTGAAAATACTGGTATGTCAAGTTGTCAACCTTATGATCTTATATTCCCGATTCGGATAACTTTTACCTTATATAGCCATATGACCCATTCTATATCTTGATGTTTTCATTGAGCATATTGTAAAAAAAATAAAAAAATAGAACAAAAAATATGTACATGCTATCAAGTGATTACCACCTTCGTTTTTAGCGAACTTGCATACGAACCTTTACTCAAAAGTCAAAACCAAAAGCTTGAATCTTTGAAGGCACACCCTCATCCATTTCCCACTGGTCACTTGATTCTATTGTGGTTAAAATGTTATTTTTATAACTTGGTTTCCAAAAGTGAATTAACGAAAATTTGGTCTAGCATGTTAGAGCTGGCAATGGGTCGACCTGGGTTGGGTTCGGTTCAACCAATTTATTAATTGGGTTGAAAATTTCAACACAACCCAACCTTTTTATTTAAATTGGTTTATATTTCCAACCCAACTCAACCTTTTAGATAAATAGGTTGTCACCGGGTTGACCCATTTATGTAGTTATTGATACAACCTATCAAATAAACGAGTTAAATTTGGGTTAACTTATTTAAAATAAAAAAATTATATACATTAACTAATAATTATACTATATAAATCAGTTCTAAACATAAATAAAATTTGAAAGTATGACAAAAGCACAATCACAATTTACAAATTTGAATAAATTGTTCAAATAACATAAAAGGTATATAATTTCAAAGGGATTTTGGAGAGTGACTAGTATTTTCGGCTATAAGAAAATGGATGGGAATTAAGATTGCATTTTTTTAAAACACAAATAATAATACAACATTTTAATTTATAAATTAATACTTCGATTAGTACATCGTTCAAATAAATATTAAATTAAACAAATATTAAAGTTAAACGAGTTGGTGGGTTGAAAACGGGTTAATAATTTTTACCCAACCCAACCTATTTATTTAAATGGGTTAGCCGGATTGACCCATTTAATTTAAATGGGTTGAAAATCTCAACCCAACCAGCTAATTTTGGGTTGGGTTCAGGTTGGGTTGGCGGGTTGGATCGATTTTTGCAGGCTGTAAGCCTGTTCCTTCAAACCCGGATTTCAACCGAATTGCACAATTTCCCCAATCGAGTTCTTTAAGAACTCATCAAATTACTCTATTAGGACAAGCAATATGATGTTAACCGCATTCATGTATATATAAACACGAATCTGAGATTTTTTTTAGTAAATACGTCCGATTGATTACATGAAGAGGATAACATGATGGAAATACTGTTCGTTAGAAAGGAGGATCAGTTGATATTGTGAAACCGGTAGGAAGATCAAACCCTGAAACGAAATCGTCCCCAAAAATTACTGCACCAGCTGCCAACGCTCCTGCACCCAACCCCATCCCAAAACCAGGTCCAACCCTTGGTCCAGGTCTTGCTCCCGAAGACGATGGCATATTAATGTAACTTGCTGGTAAGTTATCTATAGACGATTGCGGCATATAGCCAGCATTATAAGGCTGCGACGGCGGCAGTGGCGGTTGTTGTTGGTGGTGGTGGTAGCTTGGTCCTAGCGAGGGCATACGCGGTGGTTGAAGGTTGAATCCTCCCGCTGAAGGATAATTCGGCGGTGGTGGTTGGTGGTAGCTTGGTCCTGGCGGCAACTGGGTCTGCAGATGGTTTTCCCCGATTCGAGATGGCAAGTTCACGCCATCGTCACGAACCCTAAGCTTGATCCCCACCTCATCGCCTGCGCAAATCGATGATCATAATTAAATTCCCCAAATACCCTCAACATATTGATGTAATTTACAAACTTACCTTCATAGTTACTACCCCCATCAGTCTCTTGTGAAATTCGAATTGAAACATCAACAAATCCTTGCGGTTTATTCGAATTCCTCTTCCTCAATTGAAAACTTCCGACTTCTTCAACACGCCTCAATTCCTCAGAATTGTTCTTATGCTTATCGAGAAACTCTTTCAACCCAACACTTGCAGTCCCTTGAAGTCTTTCTTTCAGAAACACAGGATCTCTGCTGTAAACTTCGACATTGAGGGCCAAATCTTCGAATCTTGAATCCGAGTTATCAATCAAAGCAGAAAACTTGGTTTTCCATGTGGGATTTGCATTCCCGGAAGCATCTACTTTGGTGCAGTACTTGTTGTCGGGATCAATCCACCCAACTGCAAACCATTGGAGCTTCCATAGTGATGAAGTTCTTGTGAGTCCCCTAGCAGAAATCAAGCATATTTCTACCCAAATTTTTCCCATGTTCAGAGTCTTTGAGATGAGGAGGCAAGTGAAATCTGATTGTTTCTGTCTAAAAGATGGATTAAAGTAAAGCTACTTTGCCCCATTTTAGACGGCTACTTTACTTTAATGTCAAGAAAGTCTTGGGATTGGTCTTTTTGTGTTGGAAGAATCAGAAAAAGCATCGCCAATGCATTTACAGAAGAAGACAGGAATATGTTCAAGAGTCAAAAAGGTTTACAGAGAGGGACCTATTTTTCAACATTTACATTTAGTAATTTGTATGGCAACCAATGGTGTTCTTTTCACATTTGACAATAACAATTACTTGTCGGCCTTGTTTCTTTTGTTGAAGAGTTCATACCAATATACCCTTTACACAAAAGTTCTAACTAGAACACACAATTGGAAGTTTATCCCCTTAGCACCACGACATGGGGAGAACATACCCTTGGCATCATTCATGGGGAGTTTATACCCCTAGCACCACCATACGGCGAGCTCATATCTCTCGGATCCGTTTAAATCTTATTTATAATTTGGGATTCCCACATATATGTTGGGCATCCATTCCAGTAGTGCCTCATAATGTATAGACAATTCCAATAAATGAATATGCACTGTTAGGGATTTCATACCCCACTACATCATTGAGGATTTCATACATCGCTGCATCCATTCAAGCAATCAACTAAGTATATAGTAACTCAAGCATTCATGTAAAACAACAATCAAGACATGTGTTCCAATGTTTGGGAAAATGTCACCATGTACTCACCATAGTACCTAAGTAAGGTCAGCTACAACAATCCACAATCTTCTTGTCTTGGACACTTGAATTCCTTTGTACTTGAATTCTTTTAGAATTCATCCATAATCATAAACAACAAATTCATATCATACAATAGATATATGAAACATGCTTTTACTTGTATATTCTTATCCAAATTTGAATGTTTTAACAAATTCATATTATATGTATGGCTAATAGTAATTAGCTTTCATGAATCATGAGGTCTATGATTCCATAGCATGTCTCGTGTAATACCCAATCTTTTACATATTAAAATAATATGGTTTATAAAACATTTTCTGTAAATGAGTCTCATTTATAAAATATGGTCCTAAATTTTTCTCATTTCATTTACAAATAAATGTGTAAAAATATTCCTTCGGGTACTACAATCGATACAATAAACCATAGTAAAACAGCAAGGTTGCTTACGACAGGGAAGCTACGCCCAACATCTATCCATTAGCTCTCCGCTATTACTCCAAACTCAACTCTCAAATCATATCTCAAAATCTGGAATACATGACATTTAAACAAATATGTAAGACAATCATTGTCTCATGAGCTGCATGGGTTTAGACACAAATCATTATCAAAATCATTTGATAAAACCATAACTTAACATGATATAAATAGAAGTAAATCATATTTTGCATGTCCATATTCAATACAATTCTTCTCGGGCCTTCCCGAGTCTCAGCTATATGTTGAATCTGATGTACATAAGGATTGCCCCATAATTGGGGTAGTCACGCAAAGTGACAAAAATATGCATATCCTTAATTGGGTTAATCACACGAAGTAACGAAACTATAGACCCTTCATTGGGTTGATTGCACGAAGTGACAGATCATTAGACCCTTCTTTGGGTTGGTCATATGCAGTAACAATAAACGCTCCAAATTAAGCTTAGTCGCATAAAACGACTCATACGATGACCTTTCCCAGAGAACTATAATACGGGTTTACCCGAGAACTATCATTCGGGTTTACCCGAGAACTAACATTTGGGTTTATCTAAGAACTATCATTCAGATACGTTAACCTTTACGCAAGAATTAACATTCGTATACAATACTCTAGTCATATAAAATGAAAACACCTTTTAGATAATCAATATAGCAGTCATTGGCTAGCTAACCAATATTCATAAAAGAGTTCATTTATTCAAAAACATATATTTGCTAGCTAAAACTCATTTCTTTTCAAACTAGAATCTTTCACAAATCATTTTCACATAAAACACTACTAATATGTCATGTATCCCAAAATAAGAAAAATCCACATGTACTCACCTGACTACTAGTTACTTACTTGACTACTAGTTACTTACTGAAGACTACCTTCCGATCTGGCTTCTAACCTCGCATTATTCCTTAGCTCAAACACTAGTCCAACCTGGACAAATACCAAGTTCCTCAGAACTTGTCTTAATACACTTAAGAGGTTATTTATTCATATTTACTATAGTGACCTTTGCTTGATCACTTTCACAACTGGGTAATCATTGGTTGTTTTCTCGTTAAAACCATTACCAAACGACTTAACTCTGTAAGCCACTAGTCCAATCTTACAGTCGGACAATCCTGTAAACTTGGGTTTACAACCCTCGTTGTTTAATCGAGAGTTCCATTATGAAAACCCTTTTATTTATCTCTTGTCAGTCCGCTCATAACAACATCGTGTTACGAGTTCACACATTATATTGGCTTTATAAACCGTAACAGTCACTCACCGACTAAGGCTTCGATTCCTGTGTACCGACGTTAAAACGACATTTTGAAGCTACACGACATCGTGTAACAGTTCAGAACACTCGTCAGACCAAATGTGAAACGAATGACAAATGACTGCTATTTATAGGATGAGTGGTCGGTGGACGCGCCACGCCATGTGATAGGTGGCAGTTCCGGAGCTGCCACGTGTCCTTCTGTGATCGACACATCTTTCCGTGACTCACAGGCGCGCCACACCTTTTAAGAGGCGCCCAGTGCTTTTACGATTTTTTGACTTTTTTTAATAGCAATGTACTTTTTGAACTGCCAAAACTCTCTCATATGACTCCGTATTTATCCCCGAAATCATCACGGAGTGAACTACAACTAAATCGATTCTCAAATTTCTGGGTCGTTACATCTCAAGTCCTATATTTCAATGACCTGATGAAGTATTAACCATTATCTAGGCATATATACTTTTAATTTGTCTTAATACAAATGATCTATTTAACCTCAAACGATGCCGATCATGGCAACCGACGACATCAACACCTCAACGACGAAGACCAATAGAAGGTGTAGAAATTTTTTTGTAGAAGGAGACGTGAAATTAATTTGGGAGAAAAAAAACGAACAACTGGAAGGCCTTTAAAAGAAACGTGAAATCGGTAGAGAAGAGAAAGAGCCCTTCAAAAATCTTTTGGAGCAAGAAAGATAAAATGGAAGACGGTGAGAAGTAGAAAAGTAAAGAGGAGACGATATGGTGTTTATCTGATTCTGAAGGCAGTGGTTTCTACACAGAAGAGCAAAGACTAAAAGTGGCAATCTTTATAAAATAATATGGCAAAAGTCTGAAGCTGATAAACTATACTATTTTTAAGGGCTTTGAGAATATATATATATATATATATATATATATATATATATATATATATATATATATAACTAGTATTTGGTGATAAATGTTAAAAGATGGTCATTTTGTGTAACATTGTTCCCATTTTTGGTCATTCTAGTGACAAGCAATCATATTTATATAAATGAAAAAAACTAGCATTTCGTAAAAGAAAATTTAATGGGCTAAAACTAGGTTAAAAACGGATATAGTAGTTAATTAGGTTGCATTTGTTAGGCAAGACATGACGAATGAGCATGTCTTGTTTCTAGAATTCTAGTGGCCGGCCAACATTTTATTAGATTATGAGTGATGTGTAACATGATAAAATTTGTAACAAAGTGTGTCCCAAAAACATGATAAAAAGGCATTGCTTTAATTCCTCGCAAATGCTAAAAAAACACATTTCTTAAGAGCATTATCCACAATGGTTAAACCATTTAATAACTTTTTAGTTTTGGCATATTAGATCGATGAAAACTTATTCATCAAATGGTGCCAATCTTTATTTTTCCGAAGTTTTTTTTACTTTTGGTATCTCATATTTTCACTAACCTTTTGTATTTGAAAAAAATCAAATGGTGAATGTTGAGTTCTTAAGGTTTTGTACAAAATGAGACAATACTTTTACTTAAGGGTGTGATTTTTTTTAAATGGCAAATACATACTTTACTCGTTAACAACTCCTAAAATCCACATATGTTCACTGCAGGACTTGAACCCTCAACCTCAAAAAGGGAGGGCAACACCTGATACCGCTGGGCTACAAGCCTTTTACTTAAGGGTGTGATTGGCACACAACTTTTACGAGCTTCTAACTTCTAGCTTTTAAGAAAAAAATTAAAAAAAAACTATGTTCCATAGTACGGCACCTGTGACATCCCATTTTCACGCCCAGAAAAGACCGATTTTGTTTATGCTTTATAAAAATAAGAGTACTTCTTTTAATAAAAATGTTGCGGAATTTGTTCCCAGAAAAACATGATAAATACGTTATCAAAACATTTTCGAAGAAATGTATTTTTATTCATTTAAAACATTTGGAATGTCATCGTCAATACAGTAACATAAGCATAAATAGAACTTACATTCATTTACACTAGTGATCTACATCTCTTTTAAATCTCTCAGTGCAAAGTAGCTTTATATCGATACCTGTGATACAAATAAGCTGGAGTGGGTCAGGTTGGGAAACCTGGTGAGTACATAGGGTTTTCAACCCACAATAATATAATTATTATATTTAAGCGTCAAACAATCAACCCGATTACCATCCCCGTTATCTTCTTTAATATTCCTTAAAAAATTATCTTAAGGGTCATCTCCTATATCATATTTACCTCTCATCTTTTTACCTCACATTTCCGTATATGCTCGTTCCTAAGGCATGAATACGTAGTTACAACGTCGCCTGAACTCGTAATTCACAGTAAGGGTTAGAGTATCATCACATGAACATACAATCACAACGTCACCTGGACTCGTAATTCATCACCTACAGGTTATAAGTCTGCTGGTGTTTCCACGGGTTGTCTAGAATAGTCCGTGGTCGCCATCTATACTCTAGTAGATGACTACATCTCCAAATTGCCGGACAAGGTTATAGTATCTTTCATCCTACATCACCGATTCATCATCACCTATCCATCACCTAATTATCATCACCTTCCTATCATCACCTATCTCTCATCATTTTATTTTATCACACACCAACTATTTCATCTACCCATGTTTTATCCCAACATATTTGTAGATATAAAATAAATATATATGTAAATCATTTAAAACATGTATAAAATCATTCATCCATCATAGACAGCAAGTATTCAGATAATATGCACACATAGCACGTAATTTATATAAAATACTTCATATCTATGTGTAAGATGAAAGGGACCATGCACTCACTTGAGAAGGTGGTGACTCGGCACTCGGACAGCACTTCGTTACTCTTAACATAATTTTCCTCGGACAAAACCTAGTATCATTACCACTAGAGTTTAGTCTAATATTCACCGAGACTAATTAATAGTCTAGCTATTATTACTATTATATAAGCGTTAAACGATACTTATATAACCCATAATAATAGCCCAAGTACTTATTATAAGGTCCTAATAACATTATTATATTAAAACATAAGCTATACTAAAGATAGGTTAGGCGTAGCTCACTTACAGCGGGTTTTATAGAAAACCGGACTTTGCTTGGAGCAGCGTTTCCGAACCGAAAGACCCTTTTTATCGGGACTCCGGGAGCCTCGGGGCTTCCTTCGGGTGCTAGGGGGTTTACCTAGGCTTTAGGGGGGGTTAGGGAGGCTTAGAGAGAGGTTCTAGAAAGAGAAAGAGAAGTTGGAAGGTGTGAGAATTGAGGGTGCCCCGACACCCTTTTTATAGGCTGGAAACCACCAAAACTCGTCGAGTTGACCTCCAACTAGTCGAGTTTCATGGCCAGGTGTCACCATCTGGTGGCTAGCCTTGGGGAGGAAGCAACGGCCAGGATTTCACCACGTCACCCGATTTCGCACAGCAGCCTCCCGACTTAGAAAAATCATAACTCTCGCATACGAGCTCCGTTTTCGACGTTCTTTATATCCACGTGTAGGTAAAAACAAGATCTACAACTTTCATTTTGACTCTGTCGGCTAATTCTCGACCGATCTTAAATTTAACAGTAGGAGGAGATTAGACTGTTAAACGACCGCGAAGAATTCGTAACTCCTTCATACGAACTCCGTTTTCGTCTGTCTTTTTATCGTTGAGTTCCTATTAATGAAATCTTCAACTCTCATTTAGGTCGCGTAGGCCAAAAACCGCTCGAACTAAAATTCGAGTTTCGGGTCGTGCACTGCTATGCCAAATCTTAGAAAAATCATAACTTCCTCATACGAAGTCAGATTTGGGCGTTCTTTTTTTGTATGTTCTCGGTTTAACATATACTACAACTTTTGTTTAGATCACTAAGGCTAAAAAGTCCTCTATCGTAAATTCACTATTTACGTCTCCCGGTGTCGTGCCGGTTTTGACGTAAAACTTCGACGGGCCATAACTTCTTCGTTATAACTCGGATTTCGGCGTTCTTTATATGTACGGAACCCTTGAGACATATTCTACAACTTGGTTAAGATTATTTATTCTAAATAATCTTTTGTCAAAAAAAGTCATTTTCGACCCCCATTATTTTTGTTATCTAAGACTGCATACCATATGTCCCGTCCGCAAAGAGGTTACTACGGACTCGGACTCAGTTGTTGTACTACGGACTAAGCAAAATTACGGAAAAAATCCGTATAATTTAACTATTAGCACGGGTCCACAGTATGAAAGTCAAGTCCACAGAGGAACCTCTGCGTATTCGTTGGTCTTTCTTAGAAAGGGGAAATGACACATTAGCCCTACAATGTTTTGCAAATTTGTCCATTAAGCCCCTTAAGTAATTTTTGTGTTTTATAAGGGCATAAAGTAGATGTCCACCTGCTTTTTTGGTCACTGCAACCTGATATAGCAGGTTTTATAAGTCACATCCGCAAACAATTGAAAAACATCCTTCTTGTTCGCTTCTTTTTGCATTTTAGTTAAAAAAACATTCTCTCTCTCTCTCTCTCTCTCTCTCTCTCCACAGCAGAGAAAAAAACCCACACACATCTTCTTCAATTGAAGCTCGAACACTATGGCTGCCCTACCACCTTAATTTTGGTAAGTTTACGAGGATCATCTTCAAGATTTTGGGATTGATCCGATCTTCATCGAAGTCATAAACCGGTCCAGATCTTCAACCATGATGATTGACTTGTTTGTAGTTTGCAATAAAAGAACTTTCAAATTGGAATCCTCTACTATTTTTTAGAGGTTGACATCGTAAACATCATAAGACAGAAATTTGGTCATATCAGTGATGAAACTGGACTTTCCGGTACTAGATGGTCCGTAGAGGAGATAGCCTTGCTTCCAAACACGTCCTAATTGGTGATAATACTGTTTCAATTTGATAAAAGCCTCGAAATCGGATTTTACCTTCTTTTTCAGATCCGAATCCATCGCTATTGTGTCGCGGGTAGTTGGATGCGACAACCGAACGGATCTCCACGGTGATAGCGTGTCTGAGTTCATGTAAAGCTTCAGTTCCTTACATCTCGACTCAATATCTTCCGAAGCTTTGTAAATATGTTGAATATAAGATTGCAAAATCCTTCGCTTATCTTTTTTCTTCAACTTGAGCATAAAGGTTTTTTTGTGAATGTTTTGTTCTTCATTTTTTTCGAATTTGTTTGTCCAGGAAACCCTAGCACCGAGAAAGGTGTATTGAATGGTCTGATCGTCATCGAGGTAGATAAGATGTCGTTTGGTTTCTTCCTTAAGACGAGGTTTGTGAAGTCAGAATCTTCAAAGTAGGTTGTGTTATAGGAAATCTAAATTTTGACTATTTGGTTAACATTGTAGTGGGTATAATTGTTTTGAATAAATAACATAAAATAAAATTGATGTGGCTTATAAAAAATGTTATATCAAGTTGCACTGATAAAAAAATGACCAAAACAGCAAGTGGATATCTACTTTATGTTCCTATAAAACACGGTGATTACTTAAGGGACTGGATAGGTAATGTGCAAAACATCGTAGGATTAACGTGTCATTTCTCCTTTTAGAAAACCTTTTTTTTTTGCCATTTTCTAACATGTGTGTTTTGGTTAGTTTTGAGAATGTCACTTTATGTAACCCAATCACAATCTAAATCTACTATAATAAATGAAGATAATTTTGCCACATGTCAATCTTTAATAAGTTTTGACATTTGCCATTTTGTGATATTTTTTAAATAAATAATATTTACATGTTAATGTATGATTTTTTTTTTTTCAATTTTTAAAATTAAAAAGCCATATAACCTTTATACTTATATATGTAAAGTATCAAATATAATAAATATTATAATAAATTGCAATTAATATGTTTTTTCATTCTTTATTTTAAAATTTTATTTTAAAAAATACTTATTATTTACATTTAATCATTATTTTTTTTAATCAACCTGTGTAATACACGGGTTTTACACCTAGTGAATTAATAAATAGCAGCAAAGCACATATAAGGAAGAGGCGTTGCACTCACATCTGTTTTTGACTCAAGTTTTCAACATTTAGACAATTAAGATGTAACTTAAAACCCTTGGAGCAAAAATCGTAGGTTTCTATTACATAAACGGAAAAGCATTTGTGGCTTTTGAGCTTATAGTATACATTAAATCTACCCGGCTTCAATCTGAGCAGGGGTTTACAAAATTACCCTCGAATAGCATGTTGTTCTCTTAATATATAAAAGTATGAAATATTAAAAATGGTTAGGGTTTTCTAAGTGGTGGAACCATTAGTACTTTCCTACCAGCACTTTTAACCAAGATATGATTGCCACTCCTGGTGTACATCATTGTTGTTGATCCGAGTATATCATCTCCAAATCCACATGCCTTGACGAAACCCCTGAGGGTAATTTAGTCAATTCACGTTCTTGTTAGTGGTTTCAATGCATAATTACCTATTTGCCCATCAAAATTTGTTTCGATTTTACTTACATTTCTTGATCCGAACATAAAGCTGCTATGTCATATATGCCTTTATTTGTAAGCAATCTGCAACCAAATGGACCTTGCATTAGCCATGATTCAAATAGCACATTTCCCCTTTGTCACTTTTATTATATAAGCATCCAATCTGTAGTTCTGTACTTCAATTTTTCTAGGATGATAGATTTAAATTACCAAAAACCAATGAAAAATGCTGTTAAAAGATTGAGTAGCTGATGGAATTTGGAATTTTTACAGACCTTATAATCCTTTGAAGAATCATACGCCCGATTCCTCGACCTTGTAACGAAGGGATTACCTACACAGTAACTGACAAGAGATTACATGAACATACAGCCATTAAGGATCCAAGATATCGGGATTCAAGAAACTTGCTTATGGAATCTTGATCAATCTCAAGATTACATGAATACAAGCATGATCTATTACATAAACTCCAACGATTGGAAAAAAAAAATGCCAACAAGTAATCGAACCTACTTTATGCTAAAAATTGGATATATAAGCGACCAATTTATTTAGGGTTTGTACCATGACATCGTAAATTGAAGCAGTCAATCCATTATCAGAAACAGCTCGGCCGAATCCCACCAATTTCCCGCTAAATGGCGTCAATGGAATCATTCTTCGGTACCAATCACCCCCATTATTCAAATTTTCCGGTAACGAGGTGACAGTTTCTGGTCTAGCGAAGACGGAGACAACGACAGAGCTATGAGAGAGAGCGATGCGGAGTTTGTCGACGTCGACGGGCTCCACACGTCCGTCGGGGGAGATGTTAGGGAAACGGTGGCAGGAGTGGTTGCAGGAGCTATAAAGGTCTTGCAAGTGAATTGGGTTTACGTCTGAGAGATTCGTGGATATGAAAATTGGGGGACTTGGTGGCCGGCGATGGAGTGTTGATCTTTTTTGGCTGTTGAATATTTTGGCTGGCGGTAGGGTTTGGAATTTGGAGTGGAGAGAACCACCGTGAACTGAACCCACGACCGCCATCTCTCCCTCTCTCCGTCAGTTCAGTAAAAAACTGCGAGTTAAAAAGATATTTTCTTTCGTATATTCATTTTCTTTTAATCAAAACGGTCACAATCAATCGGAAAACGTACGTAGATAGCCACTTTTCCTGATCAAACAATTAATTAACGTCCACTGCAACAACAAGATAAGAAGAAGCAAGTAGGGCCTCTAGGGGGACCTTATCAGTAGCCCATAACCCAACTTCTACTATTAATTCCTTAACCCTAATAACTATTGTTGCTCAACTTATCGCATCTAATAATTAGGAACGAACGATCGTTTAAGTACTCATTTATGATCGGAGCACCTATTGGCTATTATACAGATCCTGTGTATATATGCACTCTATGTGCTCGATGAATTGCCAAGCAGGGATCTTTGGCATGTTCTTCAATAAAAGTTTCTATAACCTGATTCAAATATGCAATTTATTTAAATCTTGTGTTGCAAGGGCAAATTTGTCATTTGATCATTTTTACTTCTTCAAGTTTCTATAACATGATTTATTAAAGAAGCATAACAGAATATGCTCAAAATCCATGCTGATAATATGAAAAGCATGAAAGGGTATAAATTCCAATAAGCTGAATAGCGTGAATCATAAGTCAGGAAGAAAAGGAAGGGTGCAAAATATCTTCCACGTTGACTAATTGACCATCTCCTCCTACATCAAGAAACTTGGGTCAAGTTTCTTCAACTCAAGCTGCCATGGGAGGACCTGGTTGTGAATCTGTTGATAACTTCAAAACTATCCTGGAACAAGAAGGAATTTACCATCTTTTATCAGGTGAACTCAAGGTATGATTATGGATCAATTCCAACAAAAGAAAAAGTAGTCTTTATTCTGAATTTGATCCAAAATATACTCTCTTTTGATTGAATTCTACTTTTCTAGGTACCTTTATCATCATGTAAACAAAAAACAGTTTGCTTACTGTTCTCTGCAAACTGGAGTAGGCCTTGTAAAGCATTTATACCGCAACTGTTGCAAACATACAACGCCCTAAAACATGTTGACCAAGACCTACAAATTATCTTCATATCTTTTGACCGAGATGAAAATGGATTTAAAGAGCACATGATGTCCATGCCATGGCTTGTGGTTCCTTTTGATGTCAATTTACAGAAGAAGCTTGGTAATTTATACAAAGTTAATCAAATCCCATCGTTTATCCCATTGAATATCGACACAAAATTGCTTGCAAAAGATTCCGTCGGACTTATAAAAGACTATGGCCCCGATGCATTTCCGTTCACCAAGAAAAGACAGGAAGAGTTGAAAGCTTTAGATGAAGCAAAACGTCAAGAAGGGAAGTTGGAACATCTTTTTACAAATGGGATTGATAGTAAAGGTGAAAAGGTTAGGAATTTAGGATTTATTTGTTTTTTTATTTTATAGAAAATTAGTAACCAAGATTGAAAAAGTTTAAAGCTTTTTGTGTTCTTATTTGTAGATATGTTCATCGGAACTTGTGGGCAAGACGATTGGTCTTTACTTTGGTGCAAATTGGTGTCCACCATGTCGTGACTTCACTACACAACTCATTGAAGCGTATAATGATATTGCCAAAAATAAGGATCAAGAATTTGAAGTTGTATATATTTCAACCGATAGAGATGTTAAAGAATTTGAACTCGGATTGACCAAAATGCCATGGGTAGCAATTCCTTTTAACGATAAAACAAGGCAAGATCTTTGTAGAATCTTTGAAGTCAAATGGATTCCAACTTTGGTAATTTTAGGACCAAATGGGAAAACAATTACCACAAATGGGCGAAAATTGGTTTCCTTATATGGTGCTAAGGGTTTTCCGTTTACTGAATCAAAGATCTTGGGGGTAGAATCGTCTTTAATGAAAGAAGGAGATGAATTGGCTCGAGAAGTAATGGACCGTAAACACGAACACGTTCTTAAACTCGATATGGCAAAACGTTACATTTGTGATTTTTGCAAGAAACGAGGGTCGTTTTGGGCGTTTTCTTGTAATGTTTGTGGCTACGACCTTCATCCAACTTGCATTGAAGAAACCCATTAGAAAGATTTGATATATGATATGCTGTTGTTATGTAACATAATGTATGGACTTAATTATTAATTAAATCAATATAATATATATATATATATATATATATATATATATATATATATATATATATTATATGTTTGAATGAATACAAGTAGGGCTTAATGTGTTAAACACTTAATTCAAATAACTATACATGGTTGTTTATATCAACTTAACCTACACATAATGATTTAATGTGTTAAGACGAAGAGCATGACTTAATGTATTTAAAAGCCAACCAACTACCTATTTGCACTTCTTTATTCCTCCCAACTTATCTTATGTAAAACTGTTAAGAAGATATTACCTGGTTGGAATGTAAAGGTAAAACGGTCATTTGTCTTATTCATATGGTTTATTAAGTCTTGTAAAAGAAACATATATTATATATATTAAGTTATTAACACCTTAATGTATACTAACACTTCATGAGCACATATATCATTATCTATTCAGGAACAAGACTTGATAGAGAAAAATGAAACAACCGCTAAAAATGAGTTATATATAATCCGCTACGACTTTTGAACGATGATGTTGACACCATGGCCGGGTTGTACAACCATTCTATAAGCAGGAGAATGCTGATAATTTGGAGATAAAGAAAATTTGAACTTGGAAGTGATGAGTGAAATGACAACTTTCAGTTGGGCCATAGCAAAATTTCGCCCCAAACAAGACCGGGCCCCAACCCCGAAAGGAACATACGCTTGTGGGCTTTTGCATGCTTTTGTTACACCATTAATGAACCTCTCGGGTCGAAATACATGGGCATCCGGGCCCCATATTTCCTGGTCACGATGAAGGGTCGGGATCAAACTCCATATGCATACTCCTTTAGGCACGTCTACGTGCCCTATCTGCGTCCTTTCTAGTGCCTCACGTGACACAAACGCTGCCGGCGGGAACAACCGCATCGCTTCTTGAATCACCATTGTCACCTGCCCATTCAATAAGGTTATCACTTGTACTCAACGCATGAATAGTGGTACCCTGTTGAGAAAAATGGAGTGTACCGATTTCAATTTAGGGAGTGAATCTACATCGAGAACACCATTAGGGCATGCTTCGGACATTTCATCGGAGATGTGAGTTTGCCATTCTGGGTGTAATGCGAGCAGCATCAAGCACCATGATGCAGCGACACTCGTCGATTCGTGTCCGGCGAAGTAAATATTCTTACAGTTATCGACGATGAAATGTTTGCTTTCGTCTTTGCTGGCGAAATGATCCATGGCTTCTTCCAGGATCATTTGCAGAAGATCTTTCTTCAACAATGGTGTTTGTTGACATTTTCTTTCGCATACAGCTTCCCATATCAATGAATCTATCTCTTTTTCTAAGCTCTTTACATCTTTCCTCAGTCTGTATCATATAATAACTTGTTATTCATCCATTAGTTTGATGTAAAAAAAGTATTACTGTTTTTACAGCTAGCTTACCCATAAGTAGGAAGGCCAAAGAGCATGCCTTTAGATGATATAGTTTTCTGAAGGGTTCTAAGCTTGGAGAAAATCTCTTTGCCTTTTGTATAAGAGCTTCCGAAACAAGCCCTTGAAATCACATCTGCAGAAACAGCCCTCAGATCATCATCAACTCTTATATCGGCTATTCCACTACCTTCACCTTCGATGCAAGCTTCCCATTTCCTCAAAAGCGGTTCAGCCGATTCCGACATTAGCCCCACCATACCCTAACCAATCAACACACAGATAAGATATGTTAACAGTTAACAGATACATATACAGATTGAGTAGGGAAAAGTAGGGAGGTACCTTGACTTTATCCATGAAGAATTCAGGGGCAATAATTTTCCTTTGGTGGACCCAAAAATGGCCATTTGATCTGAGGATTCCATTGCCAAGGAGAGGAGAGAGTCTTTTGGTAACGTAAGAAGGTTTACCAAGTCCAAGAGTGATGGACTGGTTCATTTCTTTAACAAGCTCTGGATCATTTATATACAAGTGTTGTTTATTCCCTGTTGAGTATGTATATATCGAACCTGCATTCAAAAACTTGATCTCACTAATATGCCAATTGATCCTTTCATTTATGTTAATTTGGTAATTAACTTTTATGTTAAATAATGTCACTATAATTAGAATTCTTTGGAATTGATTACACTTGGATAACTAGTTACCTTATAAGTGACGGTTTGGGATTGGTTTGGTGAATCCAAAAATTAACAGTATATATATATATATATATATATATATATATATATATATATATATATATATATATATATAATTCCGAAAATTTTCGGTTCTGTTAGATTTTTAAAGAGGGGTGTTGCCAAGAGGGCATTTTCAACATAAGATGGCCCCACATTGGGGTTATTCAAAAAGATGAAAAAAAAGGGGCTTTTGGTTTTTTTTTTTTTTTTTTTGGTTATAAAATAAAATGAAATTCACTTCCAAGTTGGAACAATGCACCGTCTTGTAATAAGGCCGGACGAAGCGGGCGCGGGGAACGGAAGCGGGGAGCTTCCCGCCCGGCGGAACACCGCACCGTCGGCGCGGGAAAGGGTTGTGCGGGAAACGGAGAGGGGAGCCTCTCCCGCTCTCTCTCTCTCTCTCTCTTGCTGCGATTGGCCGGCCCTTTTTTTTGTTGAAAAACAACAGTTGAATAACGGTAAAAAATGTAAATTTTTTTTTTTTTGCTGTAACGGCTAGTTTTCTTTTTATTTGTTTTTTTTTATCCTTTTACCACTACTATAAATACATACATACATATAACTTAAAAATGAATCCCGACAAGCAAATCCCAACTTCCGATCGAAGGAAAAAAAGCCATGGTTCGAGTATAAACATCCCTCCTCGCAACATTTTTGCTATCGATTCATCCCCGCAAGGAGTTTACCGCCCCCAACTCGATGCTCCCATTCAATCCCCACTACAATTCCAATACCAAAATGTTGGCCAATATTACCCGATGCAAGTTCCAAATGTTCCATCGCAAATGTTTTCAAACTTTGTTGTGTTTCCGGATCAACAATCGCCAAATTAACCTCAACCCCAAACTCAAACTGAAACTCAAACCCAAACCCAACACCACCACCAACTTGTCGATGAATCGGATGATGCGGAAGAAGAAGACATGGTTCCCGAAACTCAACCAACACCACCACCACAAAGACGTAAAGGCAAAAAACAAGTGCGCGAGGGTGTCGCACAACCGGGAAGACAAAAGCCGACAGTATGGGTTCCACACGAAGAGCTAGTTTTGGTCAAAGCTTGGGTTGATATTTCTGTAGATTCGATTCAGGGAAACGCACAACCGGGAGAACATTTTTGATTTCGCATTTTAGAACGATTTCGAGAGGAGCTAGGAAAATGTGACGACTACCGTACGAAACATCAACTTAATTCGAAGTTTCGAGAAATAGCAAAGGAGGTTTCAAAAATTAACGGGTTGTACAACAACCTAAAAACCCAACGAAAAAGCGGGTGGACATTGACGAAATGTGGAAGATAACATCGCCGTTTGATCGATATAATCTAAATTTCTCCGAACGTTTGGCTTTCGACAAAGAAAAAGAAGAAACAAGGAAAAATGAGCGGGCGGAGAGACAAGAAATGGAAGACATGAAGTTTTTGATGGAAAACGTCGATCATCTCTCGGGATCGGCTCTTGAGCTCGTGATGAAGAAGAGGGAAAAAATTCTGAAAAAATATTTTTCGTAGGTCGTTGTTGGTTTGTTTGATTTTTAGTTTTTGTGTGTGTTTTTTTTTTAATTTTCTACTTTTTTATATTTTAGGTTTAATGTAAGTTTTATTTTAATTAATGAAATGCTTTTTATTTTTAATTAAATTTTATGTTTAGTATTAATTTAAAAATTATAATTCATAACAAAAAAATTAATTTTATTTAATAAAAAAAAAGTGAGGTAAGGGCTTCCCACCCATTCCTTGGCTTTTAGGTGAGGGAAAGAGAGGTATGGCCCACCAAAAGTGAGGAAAGCTTCATTTCCACTCCTTCCAGTCTAATGAGTTTGAATGGATTTTTGTGATGTGATCCAGTCGGCATACACATATATCCATCTTTTTATTGATTAATGTAATATTATTTAGTTCAGAAACCGGTCATTATAAATATTCTTATTTCAATATATATATATATATATATATATATATATATATATATATATAAACCAGCCATACTAAACATTTCAACATATATGATTATCCTAATAATATATATAAATCTATTTGATTTTATTAAAATATTTGATGCAAATGAGAGCAAACTTCAACATATATGATTATCCTAATAATATATATAAATCTATTTTAACTCCAAAACCTCTATTAATTGACTAGAATTCTTTCACTTTATACATACATATTTGCATCCCATTCCATGGATAGAAATCGTAGAATGTGCAATTTTTGTCTTAAAAGGACAAAAAAAAATGAAAACAACGACATCTCATATCAACAACACTACTAATGATTCCATCCAGCTCATAATATCAAAATTTATGGGTACGTATTTGAATTCAAAGAACCTCTCATTCTCAACCAATATAGCATGCGCTGCTTAGTGGACTTGTACCTAACCCTAGATGTGCTCACTTGTACCTTGGAAACTACAATAGTAACATTAAATCTATTTAATTCATCCTTCTTAAAACAAGATAGCGACAATGCAGTGGGCTCTTATGTATATAATTGTTTAATCTACAAACGTTTTTTGGCAAAAATAAATGTAAATATATAATGTGACAGCTATTAATATTTATAACACTTAATTATTACTTACACAAGATGTTTCTAGACCCACTTGATTTTTAATTTAGATTTGAATATAAGAATCAGAAAGGACGTTGGGGGAACATTGACACATCGGTTTCATGAAAAAGATAAATACAAAGGGTACCAATCTAGTATTATCTTTTCTTAGAAAAAAGAAAACGAAGTTGGTGATGAAATATATGTTCTGTTAAATATTTGTTCATATATGATATTTAGATGAATTATAAAAGATAACGTTGTGTTACTCTATCTACCTATGAATGGTTATTTGACATTCAAATAAAAATATGTTGTCTTAGTTCTTTCAAAGAAATTATATTATCAATAGTTGTGCGAAATTTGATCAATTGCTTATTTATTTATTTATTTACCAAACTTTTTGAACAAAATTAAAGACGGTGTGTTGACTTAAGGTCTCTATCTTATCCTATGCTAAAGTGTGATTTTTAAATAATAAATAATTAATCATTGTATCTTAAAGAAAGGAAATTGCAAAGATTTGCAAAGATATAACCAATCAGATCAGAATAGAGAATATATTGGTATTTCTTTATTTAAATAATAAATATTAAATAATTTATATGTATATAGTGACATGCATATTGTGACTACACGCGTCATATGTCCCACGCGAACAATCTTCATAGACAAGATAGTTTTCAAGTTTATCATGCATTCGTCTTTATAATGTTTGTAATTTGCTTTTTTGAATATTATGATTTTTTATGTTTTAAAAATTGTTGTTTTGTGTTTCTTAAAAGTTGTTATAGATTTAAAACTTTAGTTTAATTATAATACCCTTTTATCAAATCTTTTAACTTTCTCCAAAATAATGACGTACAAGTTATTGACTTATTGTCAAGCTTTTATTATATCATATGGTATTCACTATAAAAAATTGTTTGGCATTAACAATTTCAAGCTTATTAAATAGAGTCTTGACATTTATGTTCTATTTACCTTTTTTCCAACAATCTTCATTTAAAATCTTGATCATAATAATTATATCGTCAAAAAGTATGCATGGGTTGTTATCTTCGTAAAAAAATATGTCAATAATTATTGCTTTCATCTCTTTTTATTTAATAAATTTAATATTTATGGAAATCGTATTTTAAAAAAAAGGCAATCCGTACAAATGTATTTATATAAAAGCAAAATTATAACTATTTAAATATACCATTGACAATATTAAAATAACTATAAACAAGATAAAAGACCCACAAAGATTCGGTTCTAACTTTTCCCAAATTGCCAATGAGAATTAGGATGATCAACAATTGTAACCATCATATCGGTTTTATTTTTTAGATTAAAAAACCATTATAATTGCATACATCCAAAGAAAACATCATAATCCAAAAAACTAGAACAATTGTATCCCAAATTTTGCAAATATTTAAGTTTATAAAGAATTAAAATAAGTGGTGATAAGGCATAACATACCGTATTGTTTCCTCCATTGTTCAAAGTATGGGAAGAGAGTAGACGTATAATCATCACCTACAAAATCTCCATCGCTTGACCTTGAAGCTTTCATGGCCATTGCAGCCGCTTGAATCTTCTGCATCTCACCCACATTCCCATATGGAAAAGACGGTTTTGGCCCTCTGATTCCTTGCTTTTCGAGCTTTCTTCTTAGTCTTTGCGGTTTCATCCATATAATATTCAAGAAGTAGAAGGTTATAATGGTAATTACAGGTAACCCCACATGAATAAGAAGATTAAGAACCAATGAAGAAGAAAGCGTTTTCATTTTTATTTGATGGGAGCCACTGCGTGTTCACTTCACGAGATGAAGGGACTACTTATAATAGAACAAGCCTGCGTTGTGGAAATGGAATTTTCTAGTTCCTAAATATGTACAAGTGTTTATCAATGATGTACAAGTAGATGATTCGTGCGTGGTCTGTGATTGTGAGTTTAGGGTGTGGAGAAAGGGATGGTTTTATAAAACCTGAACAGTGAGACTCTTCTTGTGGGTCACTATGTGTCTTTTACTTTGATACCCCTTGTACTTTTGTTAGTTTAAACTTTGGTTCCTCTAGTTTAAATATATTGCATCCAGGTCCCCATTAGATATACTAGAATTCTTTTTGTTTATAGAAACTTTTTTTAGCTTCTTGTTATGGGGATCGAAGGTTTTAATGTTTTATGAGGTTGTCAAGGAAGCCATAAAAGGTTTTCTATAGTAGTGTTATGATGTTTGCAAATGTTTTTTTTTTGAAAGAACAGTCTTCTTTAATAAGGGTGTCTCATTGTTCCACAATTAATCTCACGTATGAATATAAAATTATGCATCGTGTATCATGTCATGAAGACACCACAAACAAAGTTTAATGGCTACAAGAACAAAGGGCAATAACCAAAATTGAACTTAGATAGATGAGATATCATATCCCCAAAATGTTTATATTGCCAAAAGTTGTTGGTAGGACGAATTAATTTGATGACAATTTATTAATAATAAAATAAATTGTAGTTAGTTTAGATTGCTAGGTGTAAAATAAACAATGACGTTTTCTATTTTTTATTATATATTTTACTAAATATAGAAATTCAAAACTATGTTTCCTAGCATTTAATACTTGACTTGCCAACCGTCATAAATCGTCATTGTTACTTGGGCTATTTTGACTTTTAAGTAAAATTAAAGGAATTTTTGAGTTGAGAGTTGGTTGGGCGTCTTTAACCCAAGTACCCAACATCAAAATTCATTTTCTACATCATTTTAGTCTCGAATCTATTCCAACCGTAAAAAATAATATAATATCAGTATTATATCACAATAAAATTATATAAAACTTTTCGAAACCATTTTTAATAGGGGTGTGTATTGGACAGTTTGATTCGGTTATTGGTCAAAACCGAACCATAACCATTACAATTGGTTAATGTATTTACTATTTTGACAACAATTGTGTAGCAATTAATAGAGGTTTTGGTTAACAGTTTTAGTTAGTTAGTGGTTATTAGAGATGCACAGAAAAACCGGATTGACACATAGGATCCGATCCGATCTGGAAACTAGATTTGGTCAAAACCGGTTTCGACCGAACCGGTTCGGATTAAACCAGTGACCGGATTGAAACCGGTTTTAAAGTTCGGACACAATATCGGATTGACCCTCGGATTGTAAATCGGATTTGACGAAAACCGGATCCAAAACCGGTTTGAAACCGGATTTTTTTTCTGACCGTTAAAAAAAGGACGTTTTCGGAAAAAAAAAACATTTTTTTTTTCTAACCGTTAGTAAGCTCCAAAAAACGGCTAGTTTGACTATTTCTTGACTTTTATGACCTTCTAAACACATATAAATAGATGACATTTTGTTAGATTTCAATGTTACACAAAATTCTACTACTTTTAGACTTCTAGTTTCATAATACTCCACAAAAATGAGCTCGAGAAATTCTACTGCGGGTTAACATTCGGATGCAACGGTGGTGAAAATCATATCAACCACTCGGAATAAAGAAGTGTAGGAACATTATGATTTGTGTTTGTTGTCGAACGGGAAGGAAAAAGCGAGATGCAAGAAGTGCGGGATGTTTTTGGGAAAAGATGGCAATAGTACTTTGAGGAGTCATGCAACAAAAACTTGTCCGGTTGTAAAAGGTTAAGGCGATCCGGATCAACCAAATATTACTCCCGACGGGGCGATCTTTATTTACAACAATGATGACATTCGTGAAAGCTTTTGCAAGTTCGTGATTCAAGAGGGCTTGCCTTTCAGCCACTTCGACAACCCACAATTAACAAGGATTTTGCGGGAAAAAATGCAACCACAATACCGGCAAGTAAGTCGCACTTCTCTTAGACGTGATGCTATAAAGTATTGGGATGTAGCAAAAAAAAGATATGCAATTTGGTTTTTTAAATATAAAAACCGGTGTTTGGTCTTCCACCGAAAGTTGTCCCAAAAGCTATCTTGCCGTCACGGCACATTGGATAGACCCATCTACTTGGGTAATGAACAAACGAGTTATTGCTTTTGAACTTTTTGTGCATCCTCACACGGGGCCACGATTATTTGCAATTTTAGTAAGCGTTATAGAGACTTATAAGTTAAGCGACAAAATCTTCTCTATTTCGTTTGACAATACATGTAACAATACCGCCGCCGCAAAAAGATTAATTGCAAAATATAGACCTATTATAGATGACTCGTTTTTTCATACTCAATGTGTTTGTCATATTATTAATCTAGCGGTACAAGATGATTTAAAAATGATAGATTCGACGATTGAAAAATTGAAAAATGTGTTAACTAGAGTTTTTGGAAAAATAAAGCTACAATAGAAAAATATCGAAAGTTTGTCAATTCCATTAATGTAACTTCATATAATCCTCATTGGGATGTTGACACTAGATGGAGTTCGACGTGCATTATGTTTGAAAGTTTGACACGTCAAAGAATCGCTTTGCAATTATTTTACGACACAATTTCAAAAGGAAAAAACTCGGTTTCGGAATTTGATTGGGATTCGATGGAAGAGTTTGTGGAAATGTTAAAAGTTTTTAAACAATCAACCACTTTTTATCGGGCGTGTATCATCCTACAAGTCCGTTGTTACTAAATGAATTATGGTTGCTGTCCGCGCAATTGCAACATTTTGAACAAAGAAGTGAAATATTTGTTTTGGTTACGAGACCAATGAGAAAAAAATTAGTCAAATATTTCAAAGAAATGTCACCACATTTTACTTGCGTCGCGACATTAAACCCATGTATCAATGTTACGGGTGTAGAGACTTTGATTACCAAAATTTCCATCTCTTTAAATTTTCACAAAGATGACTCAAACTACATCTGTAACCAAATACACAATATTAATAATATTTTTACTAATTTGTTTGACATTTACGCTATAAAATATAGCAATATGTCAAACACTTTTGCAAGTGTAACCGACTCTACTAGTGGTGCATCGGGTAGTAGTGGGGGTCGAACGGATTTTCATATCAACCTCTATAACTACCTTTTGGAGGAACAAAACAAACGAACACGCACATTAACCCCTAGTAGCGAACTTGCAATTTATATGGGTTCAAACTTTTTAAAATTCATGAGTGCACCACAATTTAAAATTTTGGATTTTTTTGGCTTGGTGGAGAGAAAAGGAAGCACAATTTCCTATTCTCTCTGTAACGCCCGAAATCTTGACGAGAAATTGTTGAGAATAAGTCTAATTCGAGTTGAACTCGGCGAGTTGGAGGAACCAACTCGACGTGTTTAGGAGGGAAGAATCATGGGGATTAAATGAACCAACGGTGAGTTGAGGTGCCTCAACTCGGCGAGTTGGTGGTTGGGAAGGAAACCCTAATTTTAAGGGTGTTCCACCATATTTAAAGGCCTTAAGTTCATTTGGCTGCCCTCCTTATCAGCCTCTATTGTTGTCAAAACCCTAAAACGAGTTGTAGCCTCCATTGTCAAGGATTTGAGCCTTGGAAGAAAGTTTGGTGGTCATTTTTGTGCATTGTAAAGGAGTTAGAACATCTTGAAGCTCTAAGCTTAGAGAAGGAAGTCTTGGATCCAAAATCATTATCCATTTTGCCAGGAGTTTGAGGTATCAAGTTCTTATCTTGATTGCTAGATGCTTAGATCTCTCTTTTGGGTTAAATTGTCATGTTTTAGCCATGGTTTGGATGGATGTTGGGGCTAGGACGTCCCAAAGCCTTATTCTTTCAGATGTGGGTTTTTCATGGACTCTTTTGGCATAAAGGTGCCAACTTTATGGATTTAAGGGCTTCATGCATTCATTAAGTCCCTTATTAAGCCCTTCTTGAGTATTTGGGCTTCTCCTAGGCATGCATGAATGTAAAGTTGGCAACTTTACATGGTTTTCCAGCTCTACATTGTCAGATCTGCATTTTGGGGTTTTGTTTTTGAAGATTAAGTGCTTAATGGTTAAGCCCTCACTCTTTTAAGTATAGGGTTTGGGATTAGTCCCATTTCGGTGGTTCCTAGGGGTAAAGTTTCCAACTTTACCCCTAGGAACCACCGAAATGGGACTAATCCCAAACCCTATACTTAAAAGAGTGAGGGCTTAACCATTAAGCACTTAATCTTCAAAAACAAAACCCCAAAATGCAGATCTGACAATGTAGAGCTGGAAAACCCCTTCTAGATCTCATTTTGGTCGAAATCTGAGTTGTGAAGCTCTTAGAATCGATAACGTCGGCTTAATGTATTAAGATGTTAGGTTTTTGGCGAGCTCGGCGAGTTTATGGATAAAATCGGCGAGTTGGCTCGGTTTTTCCTCGACTTTGCAGATAATGGAGAAACACGGCGAGTTGAAGGACAACTCGACGTGTTGGGTCAACTCGGGCCGTTGACCTTGACTTTTGACCCTGTCTTTGACCAAGTTGTTCTAAGGGGGTACTTGAGGTAATCATAATTGTAACTAAGGGAATTATGGGCTTAGGATAAGGCCCATATAGGGTTGGGCCTAATTTGGAAAATTGGGCCATTAGTGGGCCTTTGTGGATCTTTTGGATTTGAGCCTCAATTTTGATGCATGTTAGGTCAGGGGTAAAATGGTCATTTTACCCCAAGGGAATTATGGGTAAAATGGTCAGGGGTAATCAGAATTGTAACTAAGGGAATTATGGGCTTAGAATGGAACCCAATTGCTAATTGGGTGTTATTTTGATCTGAGCTCTGAGGTGTTGTCAGGGCCGCAGCTAGGGATTTCTTTCGGTAAGCTTCTGCATTCGAGGTGAGTCTTCTCACTATATCCATGGGTCGAAGGCACCAATGTCGGCCCATTATGTG